TCAGAATCGAATCTCTTCTCCCTCCTCTCTCCTGTGAGATTTTTTTGATCTTCAGCTACATTTTCAGCTTTGTGAGAAACCTTATCATCAAACACAATGGCCAGCAACGTTACCAACAAGACAGATCCTCGCTCCATGAACTCCCGTGTGTTCATTGGGAATCTCAACACTCTTGTGGTCAAGAAATCTGATGTGGAGGCAATCTTTTCGAAGTATGGCAAAATTGTGGGCTGCTCTGTTCATAAGGGCTTTGCCTTCGTTCAATATGTTAATGAGAGAAATGCCCGGGCTGCTGTAGCAGGAGAGGATGGCAGAATGATTGCTGGCCAGGTTCTAGATATTAACCTGGCTGCAGAGCCAAAAGTGAACCGAGGAAAAGCAGGTGTGAAACGATCTGCAGCGGAGATGTACGGCTCCTCTTTTGACTTGGACTATGACTTTCAACGGGACTATTATGATAGGATGTACAGTTACCCAGCAGGTGTACCTCCTCCTCCTCCTATTGCTCGGGCTGTAGTGCCCTCGAAACGTCAGCGTGTATCAGGAAACACCTCACGAAGGGGCAAAAGTGGCTTCAATTCTAAGAGTGGACAGCGGGGATCTTCCAAGTCTGGAAAGTTGAAAGGAGATGACCTTCAGGCCATTAAGAAGGAGTTGACCCAGATAAAACAAAAAGTGGATTCTCTCCTGGAAAACCTGGAAAAAATTGAAAAGGAACAGAGCAAACAAGCAGTAGAGATGAAGAACGATAAGTCAGAAGAGGAGCAGAGCAGCAGCTCCGTGAAGAAAGATGAGACTAATGTGAAGATGGAGACTGAGGGGGGTGCAGATGACTCTGCTGAGGAGGGGGACCTACTGGATGATGATGATAATGAAGATCGGGGGGATGACCAGCTGGAGTTGATCAAGGATGATGAAAAAGAGGCTGAGGAAGGAGAGGATGACAGAGGCAGCGCCAATGGCGAGGATGACTCTGAAGCACATAGTGGGGTTTAGAAATCTTATCCCATTATTTCTTTACCTAGGCGCTTGTCTAAGATCAAATTTTTCACCAGATCCTCTCCCCTAGTATCTTCAGCACATGCTCACTGTTCTCCCCATCCTTGTCCTTCCCATGTTCATTAATTCATATTGCCCCGCGCCTAGTCCCATTCTCACTTCCTTTGACGCTCCTAGTAGTTTTGTTAAGTCTTACCCTGTAATTTTTGCTTTTAATTTTGATACCTCTTTATGACTTAACAATAAAAAGGATGTATGGTTTTTATCAACTGTCTCCAAAATAATCTCTTGTTATGCAGGGAGTACAGTTCTTTTCATTCATACATAAGTTCAGTAGTTGCTTCCCTAACTGCAAAGGCAATCTCATTTAGTTGAGTAGCTCCTGAAAGCAGCTTTGAGTTAGAAGTATGTGTGTTACACCCCCACATTAGTGTGCTGTGTGGGGCAGTTCAACACAAATGTAACAATGTATTTTTGTGAATGAGAGTTGGCATGTCAAATGCATCCTCTAGAAAAATAATTAGTGTTATAGTCTTAAGATTTGTTTTCTAAAGTTGATACTGTGGGTTATTTTTGTGAACAGCCTGATGTTTGGGACCTTTTTTCCTCAAAATAAACAAGTCCTTATTAAACCAGGAATTTGGAGGAAAAAAAAAAAATAGAATGATACAGGTTACAATCAGAAAATCAACAGGACAAATCACCTACTTTTCTTAACAAACAAATTACAAAAATAAAATGAAAAAAAAAAATAGAGACAGACTACAGATTAGAAGAGTAATCAGAGACATGCCTATCAATCACAATGTGTGGACCTTATTTATACCTTGATTTAAAGAAATCAACTGTACACCAAAATTGTGATATTTACGTCACAATTGCACACCTAAATACTGACTCAATATATGATGACTGAATAGTTTGAGTTAGGAATAAATGAGGAGAGGAGACAGTTGCATACATCAATCCAAAGTTCTTGACAGACATCTGGACTGGGGAAATATATGTGGAAGTCAGAATCAACTATGAATTCTTGCTGAACACACACGAGCTGATGAGCTACAAAGCTGTGTTTAAAGCTGGGGTTATCAACCTCTGCACTACTGAGGTTTGGGGCCAGCCAATTCTGCGCTGTGTATTGTAAAATGTTTAGGTATATCCATAGCTTCTACACAACTAGATGTCAGTAGCATTCCCACATGCAGTTGTCACTACCAAAAATGTCTACAGATATTACCCAATGTCTTCTGGGGGACAGTGGGGGCAAAAGTGACCCCAGTTGAGAACCAGTGGTATGGAGTAAAAAGAGAAGAGGGCGGAGAATGAAGCCTCAAGGAATCATACAGACCCATCATTCAGTTACAATTCCATGGCTAACTGTGACCATGTCTCCAGACCCCAGTAGTCTCATCTGAGAAATGGACATGACATAATCTAATTCACGAAATGGGTGTGGCAATTATTTAATACTGAAAACACTTCTTAAAGTGAGAGCATATTCAAAGTGCCTGCCTTTGTAAGTGTCCATTACTATGAGCCTCTTATCTCTTCTCTTCTTCCTCAAAGCTCTGAGTCCAGTTTAGCTCCACCAAACTCCAGAGCAACATTTCTCCTCTTATCTCTCTCTTAGGAAACCTGGATCTTTGACTTTGCAGCTACAACGCGGAAGCAGTCCTGCTTCCTTGAAGCTGTTTAACGATTCCCAAGTTTCACCCACTTCCCAACCCTCCAGATGAAGGTACTTTGCATAAGTAAACTAGCAAGCAATCTCAAAAGCAAAGACAAGATGTTGTTCTTCCTGAAATTCAGTATCAGAGCCCACTCTTACACCTTCCCGAGAGCTTTCTCAGTATGATTAAGAAACACGTCCTCACTGGAACTTCTTGGATGAAAAGGTAGACAAAAATGTATATTCTCAGTGAATTGGAAAGATTTTGCCAGGGGAAAGTTACTCTGTTGTAAAAGAGGTTCCCTTTCTTACTTAGGCTTTGAGAAAGGGGCCTGAAGTTTGTGCTTTACCTCTGTTTACTTAACATGATTTCCTTTCAGCAGTTATAACTTCCTTATTAAGAGTTTTACTGAGATATAGTTCTTACACCATACAATTCTATTATTTAAAGTGTGTAATGCAAGGATTCACAGTATATTCACAATGGTGTACACCATTACTGTAGCTAATTTTAGAACATTTTCATCACCGTCAAAGAAACCCTGTTTAGCCATCATTTTCCTACCACTTTATCCCCCCAATCCAGAGTACCAACAGATCCACTTTCTGTGCCTGTAGATTTGCCTATTCTGGATATTTCTTTTTTTTTTTTTTTTTTTTTTGAGATGGAGTCTGGCTCTGTCGCTCAGGCTGGAGTGCGGTGGCCGGATCTCAGCTCACTGCAAGCCCCGCCTCCCGGGTTCACGCCATTCTCCTGCCTCAGCCTCCCGAGTAGCTGGGTGGATATTTCTTATAAATGGAATCATAATATGTGGTCTTTGGTGTCTGGCTTCTTTCACTTATGAAAATATGAAAAGCATAAAGTCTTCAAGGAGCTTCTCTGTTGTAGTATGTATCAGAATTTCATTCCCTTCTATGGCCAAATAACATTCCATTATATGGATATATCATATTTTGTTTACCCTCAGCCAACAACTAGTAAGAAAATGAGGACCTTAGTCATACAAGTTCAAGAAAATGAATCATGCCAATAACCTGAGAGAGCCGGGAAACAGATTTCCCTAACTGAGCCTCCAGATGAAGATGCAACCAGCAGACACCTTGATTGCAACCATGAGACACTGATCAGAGAACCCAACTAAAGCATGCCAGATTTCTGATAATAAATTAATATTGTTGCAAGCCACTAAGTTAGTGGCTATTTTCTATCCAACATAGAAAACTAATACAACTAATACAGTGGCAAATGCCATTGTGTGTGTGTGTGTGTGTGTGTGTGTGTGTGTGTGCATGCATAGCTTTGTGTGCCCTAAGAGAACTTGGTGGCTTTGAAACACGGGCAGGACCTAACATGTATTCTTGCTGTTATTCTATATGCCTTTTGCATACCTATCATTGACTTATGTTTTATATCTAAATAGCTCTTTTACTACCCATCTTTCATACACATCTTCTATAATTAAATAAATTGTTAAGATTCTCATCTTGATGATAATGCAATAACCTACACAAGAGATTTGCTTGTTAATTTGTTTTGTCCTGAGAGGTAGAGTTCTAAACCCTTAAACCTTGCAAATGCTTTTCTGTTTTGAGTCCCAAGTTGCACTTATAAACAGAATGAGAGATAGAAGAAGACAGAGATTAGATACAAAGAGATTTAAAGTTCCTAGGGGAGTGGTAAACCTAAAAGAAAACCTGCAGTTTGTCTGTGTAACCTGCAGACCATTTAAATGTGGCTGTTATTGTTTAGTTAGCACAGTATTATATAAGGGCCTAAAACAATTTTATTCTGGTGATTTCAGAGTATAGTGTGGTATATATCTGTCATCAGAAGATTGCAGTCTGAATAAAATACAGTGCAAGATAAACTCCAATCACTTTTTTTCATTGTGGTATTAGCTCCAAAGCTCCCCCATTTTACCCAAAGACAGATGGACAACAAATAGTGTTCTGTTACTGGTACAGAGCTCAAACTGAATGGGATTTATCAGGATTTTATATCTAATCTCTCTTCTTAAGGGCTCTGGCTGTTAGCTTTGACGAAGAGAATGGAAACCAGATGTTTAGACACCGGAGGCAGAGTTCCTAGGTTAAAAACAAAGTTTAAAAATGCCTTTTATTTTTATGTATTTGCATATGTCATTCTAAGTATGAATATTTCTCACTGATATTGGTGGATTTGATTATGGATTAATCTAAATAGCCAACCACTCCCCAAATAAAACCAAACTGTGTTAACTACATCTTTAGCAATAAGCATGTCTGTCCTTGTTATTACAGAAAATAAAGCCAGCACTGAAATTTCTAAATAATACTGATTTTAAAAAACGTATTCAAGAAGTAGAACATTTTTATTTAAAAATTCCAGTAAAATGCATTCCCTCCTGGCATGGAACATCCTGCTCATGAAAGCACTTGCAAAGCCTCCAGCTGTTCCTGCTTATTTTCCCCCCATCAGCTCCACACTGTCATCTTAAAAAGGCACAATAGGACTTTCTCAAATAATCACAATGCATGATGAAATTACTTCTCCAGATCTAAGAACTCCAGCAAAGAATTTGTAGGGGATTACTATCTCATTTTCAAAATGTGCCTCATTCGGATGTAGCTACAACCACCCTACAGTTAGAGCGATAATGTTTTTCTTGCCACACTTCAGGGGGTCTCCAGTTAACAAACGTCATAAAACATTAAAAGAAAAAAAATTAATGTATACTTGTTCTCATAAGCAAAAGACTAAAATGTATGCTATTATCCTCAGGAGTAGGAAGGAGAAAGAGTTCCTAAAATCAAAAATTGAATAATAAGATCATAATTGCAAAGAGTTGGCTATTCTAGATTAGGGAAGTGACTCGATGTTCTAGTTCATTTCCTGCTGCTATAACAGAATATCACAGATTGGATAATTTATAAAGAACCAAAGTGTATTTGGCTTGTGGTTCTGGAGGCTAGGAAGTCCAAGAGCACGGCACCAGAATCTGGTGAGGGGCGTCCCATGGCAGAAGGCATCACCTGCGGTGTGAATCTGCAAGACAGAGGGAAATAGAGCAAAATTGATTCTATTATCATGAGCTCACTCCCGAGGCAGCAACATTAATCTATTCATGAGGGCAGAGTACCCTCTGACCTAATCACCTCTTAAAGACCCCACCTCTTAATACTGTTACAACGGCAGTTACGTTTTGAACGCATGAACTTTTGAAGGACACATTTACATCATAGCACTCCCAAACCTAGCTGATCGTAAAAATTGCTTGGAAAGAGGTTTAAAACTCATATGTTAAGGACCCTCAACATACCTTCTAAATTGGAACTCTTGAGAGTCACCTCACCATTCACAAAACAGTTTCCAGGTATTTCAGATGCAACTCATCTGTCACCAGAGTTTGGGAACCACAAAACTGAGGGATGTTTAAATATTTCCAGTGGTTTGTTAATGTGTTAATTGTCATGTAATACCTGATAATAATAATCTACTCACACATTTAAAACACAGACTTTGTTCTGAATACTTGCATTTAACTTCTGACTCTCCAAAATCCCTAATGAAATGACCAAAGGAATTCAAAAACTGTGGGAAAATTGCATCAGCTCTGAAAATCATAGAAGGAAACAAAAAACTGTTATGAAAAACTAAAGCAATTCCTGCAGAATATGTTGTAAGCAAGAAAACTGAGAAAATTGCTGACCAAGTCACAATTCCCACACTGACTCGAAGTTGATAGCAGCAGGGCATTCGGACGAAGTAGCAGGTACTGGAGGGAAGTTGCAAATCTGGAGCTGACAGGGATGGAATTACTCTGCATAATTTTTCCCCAGTTTACTATTGAATCACACAGCAAGCCAAACAGAATAGGGGCGATGCTACATCTGGTCTCAAAAGACAGTCAGAGAACAGGCACATTATTCCAGCAGTAAGAGAGTGAATTGAATCTCTTTGGCATAGGAACAAGACTTCTTGATGTTGCTGTCCAGACCCCCACCCAGCCTTAATTTACATCCTATTCTTCAGAGGTCACCACCTTATAATTTTTCAATGTAAAACTACAATAACGTTAACTCTTCCTTCCTTTTCCTTTTTAATTTCCTTCATTCTTTTTTCTTCCTTCCTTCCTTCCTTTTGTATTTACTTTCTACCTGTTTCTTTATTCCTTCTCTTCCCTCCTCTTTATTCCTGCTTTATTTTTTATTTTGTCCCAAACTACATCTGTTTAAAAGAAGTCACGTAAATCTCCAAATATGGGCAAACCTAGAATGTCCTCCATCATTCTACTTACCCAATCACTCCTTCATTCCCCATCCCATCCATGTGTTATTTGCAAGAAGCAAAGAGAAAATTCTAAAGGGAGTCGATAGTTAGAAGGCAGTCAAGCTGAGAAGGCAGACAAAATATTTCCTAAGAATGGTTTTATTAATAAAAGCTAGGAAAAATCATAGAAAATATCCAATGTGTACTTTCAAGAAGATTCAAGAGACCATTGTGTGTACGAACTAAACCCAATAAGTCATTAAAAAGGTAGAACCTGAGAGCAGAAAAAGTTGCTTTGAGATGAAAAATATGACCATGAAATTTCTAATGTAATGGAACTTGTGAATACAAGAGGAGATTCTGTAGAATTTGAATCAACGGATTAGAAAAACAAGCTTAAAAACTTCTTCCAGAACTCCAAAAAACTGTAAAAAATGCTGCCAGAGAAGTAAAAATTTAGAAGAAAGATCCAGGAGATCTCAAATAAGTTTTATAGGAAGTCTAGAAGGACACGGGAACAGAAAACCGAATACCACATATTTTCACATATAAGTGGAAGCTGATTGAGGGGAACACATGGACACATGGCAGGGAACAACACACACTGGGCACCTGTGGGGTTGTGGGGCAGAGAGCATCAGGAAGAATAGCTAATGGATGCTGGGCTTAATACCTGGGTGATGGGATGATCTGTGCAGTAAACCACCAGGGCACACGTTTTCCTATGTAACAAACCTGCACATCCTGCACATATACCCCTGGACTTAAAATAAAAGTTGAAAAAGATAGAGGTCTAGAAGGAAAGAACTTGGCAGATAGGGCAGCAAAAAAAAAAAAAAAAAAAGAGGAAGAAGCAATAGAAAATTTAGCAGAGCTGAAGAAAGTCATTTGACTACAAGTGTAGAGGACACGTTTAATGTCAGGTAAACTTAATTAAAGCAGACTTAAGCCTGATATATCCTGATGAAATATTTCATTTCAGCACTAAAAACAGAATCCTACAAGCTTTAGCACGGGGGTGCCGGCAGGGAAGGGCGAGGGCAAGTGACTTACAAAAGCAATCCTCAAGTTGGCATCAAGTTTTTCACAATACTGAATGCCAAAGAATCATGGAGAGTTGCCTTCAGAGTCTAAGAAAATCAATTTAAAAACCAGAATTCCATATCTAATTGGGCTGACATATATACAAAAGGAAAGAAAAGACAAACTATAATAACTATGTCCCCTTCCAAAAAATTACAAAAAGAAGGGAACAGCTGACAGAGACAAAAGCAATATCAGAAATCTAAGAAGAGAGAAGACAGTAGTATAATAACAGGCAGTGTTTACCCAGTGGTTACTACGGGCGAAGCACTGTTCCAAATACTTTAATTTAGTAACCCGCTCAAACCTCACAATAACCCTATGAAATAGAGTCTGTTGCTATACCCATTGCAGAGGAAAATACGATTTTAGAGAAATCAAGGAACTTGTTCACAGTTATAGGGCTAGCAAAATGGTGTAGCCAGGAGTTAAGCCCAGAGAGTCTGAGTACCACATCTGAGTGCTTAACCACTAGGCTACCCAGCTCCTCGAAAGGAAAATGAAAGGAGATCAAAAACAGAAAATGTGAAGGAGGAAGCTCCAAAATAATTATTAAAAATGAATCAATAGCAAAAGTATTGAAATACATACCTTTTATGAAAACAAATGACTCTCCAAGCCTTAAAAAAGAAGAAAATCCTGCCATTTGCAACAACCTGGATGAGCCTGGAGGACATTACGCTAAGTGAAATAAGTCAGGCACAGAAAAACAAATGCTGCATGATCTCACATATGTGGACTCCAAGAAAGTCAAACCTAGAGAAAGAGAGAGTGGAAGAGTGGTTACCAGGGCCTGGGAGATGGGTAGAAAGGAAAGATACTTGTTAAAGAGTATAATCTTTCAATTATAACATTAATAACTTTGGAAGATCTAATGTAGATTGTGGTGACTATAGTTCATAATCATATATTATAAACTTAAAATTTGCCAAGAGAGTAGATTTTAAGTGTTCCCACCCCCAAGAAAGGTACTTATGTGAATTGATATGTTAATTAACTTGATTTTGAGAATCCTTTCACAATGCATGTGTATATCAAATCTTCACATTATACACCTTAAGTATATGCAATTTCTATTTGTAAATCATACCTCAATAAAGCTGGAAAATTCTTTGAAAAAAGAATTATATGACTCTTCAGCAGTGTAAAGAACTTAAATCACAGAAAGGCTGGAAATAAAGAGACAAGTAAATATACGCCAGGGAAATGCAAATTTCAAAACACACGTGTCAATCTCAGAAAAGGTAAACTTCAAATTAAACATAAACAGGACAGACAGAACTATTTTCTGTTCATAAAAAGGAAAATCCAGAACGAATTTGTAAAACATAAAAACTTTGTATGTGCTATGTACCATGGCACTTCAAAAAAACAGCAAAATCCAATGAAACAATAAAAACTTACATTGTAGTCATGGCAGAAAGCATTTAATGTTTTCTCAGTCTTTGGCCAATCAACACAAAAGTTCAGTATATAAAATAATTGACTATTACAAATCGTACCGTGGTATCCAAATGGGATGAGTTTCAGGACCATCTTGGATACTAAAATTCATGTATGCTCAACTTCCTTATATAAAATGGTGTAGTATTTGAATGTAACTTATGCATATCCTCCTACTTTCTTTTTTTTTTAATTATACTTTAAGTTCTAGGGTACATGTGCACAACGTGCAGGTTTGTTACATATGTATACATGTGCCATGTTGGTTGCTGCACCCATTAACTCGTCATTTACATTAGGTATATCTCCTAATGCTATCCCTGCCCCCTCCCCCCTCCCTCCACCCCACAACAGGCCCCGCTGTGTGATGTTCCCCTTCCTGTGTCCAAGTGTTCTCATCGTTCACTTCCCACCTATGAGTGAGAACATGTGGTGTTTGGTTTTCTGTTCTTGCAATAGTTTGCTGAGAATGATGGTTTCCAACTGCATCCATGTCCCTACAAGGAAATGAACTCATCCTTTTTTATGACTGCATAGTATTCCATGGTGTATATGTGTCACATTTTCTTAATCCAGTCTGTCATTGATGGACATTTGGGTTGGTTCCAAGTCTTTGCTATTGTGAATACTGCCGCAACAAACGTACGTGTGCATGTGTCTTTATAGCATCATGATTTATAATCCTTTGGGTTTATACCCAGTAATGGAATGGCTGCATCAAATGATATTTCTAGTTCTAGATCCTTGAGGAATCGCCACACTGTTTTCCACAATGGTTGAACTAGTTTACAGTCCCACCAAAAGTATAAAAGTGTTCCTATTTCTCCACATCCTCTCCAGCACCTGTTGTTTCCTGACTTTTTAATGATTGCCATTCTAACTGGTGTGAGATGGTATTTCATTGCTCCCACATTCTTTAAATCATCTCTATATTACTTACAATACCTAATACAATGTAAATGCTATGTAAATTATTATTGTGCTATATTTTCTATATGAATTTTTTTTTTAATTTTCATCTGCAGTTGATTGAATCCAAGGATGCAAAATCCATGAACACAGAGGTCTAACTGCATATTTAGTATGTTAATTTTATGGATATGAAAATAATAATATAACAATGTAGAGATACATGTAAAACAGAGTTGTGATCAAGAACGTTGGCTACAGAGCTGTATAACTTGAATTTCAAACTTATTTCCTCCTCTTAACTAGTTCAGTCCTTAGATAATACACCTACCATCTTGCTGCCTCAGTTTCCTTCTATCCTCCCTTATAAAATTATGACATCATTGAAATGATGATTAAATAAGTTTATACATATAGTACTAAAATTAGTGTCCAGCCCATAATAAATAGTTAATATGAGCTGCTATAATAACTAATGATGCGCTTATATATATACATATATGGAATTCTGAGTTTTACCACTAGAGAATATTCTTTCTTTCCAAATATCTTAGGGATATTTTACCAAAATCAGTAATGTAATATGCCACAGGAAAGCACAATAAATTATTTTATGTGGAAATTATATGGACCACATATCTAAATACACTAAAACTCTAATAATAATAGTAAACAAAAAATCATACAACAAAGAAATTTTAAAACACCCTCCTAAGAAACTTTTGGGTAACAAGAGAAATCAAAACTGTGCTTTAAATTATATAGCTAATTCTATATTGTATTCTAGATTCTGGAATGTAACCAATTAAGTGTCTATCTATCAAACCTAGGTGATTATTATATTAATACAATCGAAGGTTTACCATACAACAAAGGAGATAACATCTTTGCAACTTTAGAACAAGAATTTTTAAACAAGAAATAAAACACACCTCTTCAAAGAAAAACAGTGATCCACCGGACAATTTTTAAATTATAAAACTATGTTAATCAAGGACTCCATTGAGAGAGTGAAAAAACAGCTCCCATAGAGAAAGAAGATACTCATAATGTACATGTGTAACAAAGACTTCAGATCCAGAAAAAAAGAACACTTAAAAATCAATAGGAAAATACAAAATAAAAATAGACAAAAAACTTGAACAGTTACTTCACAAAAGAAGTATCTAAATGGCCAATAAAATATGAAAAAATAACTTCGCATATCATCAGAAAAATGCAAATTAAAACCACAAAGTGAGACCATTGCATACCCACCAAAATGGCCAAAATTAAAAAGAACAATCAATACTAAATTTTGTCACGGATATGGAGTAACCAAGTATCCCATATCTTGCTAGTAGAAATGAAATTAGTACAACCAACTTGGAAAACTGGTCAAAACTATTAATGTTGAAAATACATATTCCAAGTATATCCCCACCAGACATGCATCCATATGTTCACCAAAAGACATCTACTAGAAAGTTCATAGCAGCAATATTTATAATACTCTATAATTAGAAATGACCCATCAAGAGTAGAATGGATAAACAAATGGTGATGTATTCACAGAATAAAATAATATATAGCAATAAGAATGAATACATTATAATTATACATAACAATATGGTGGAAGCTCACAAATAATACTGAGCCAAAGAAGCCAGATGCAAAAACTGCAAACTATGATTTCACTTACGCAAAGAACAGAAAAGGCAAAATTAATCTATGCTACTGAAAGTTAAGGTATTAGTTACCTTTGGGAGGATTGTGACTAGAAAGAAGGGCTCTGGGAAGCTAGTACATTCTATTTCTTGATCTAGGTACAGATTACACAGGTTTATTCCATTGGTGATGGTTGTATAAGTGTGTTCAGTTGGTAAAAATTCATTGAGCTTTATGACTATGGTGTTTGCACTTTTCTCTTTTATATTAATTATCTTTCAATAAAATGTTTTAAAAATCTATGGGAACAGATTTAAAAGTATACTAATAGGAAAATACGGAGCACTTTGTGCTTAACAAAAGAATGTCACTCAAGAAGGTGTAAAAAGTAATACATATATATATTCTAAATGTAGAAGCAGAAAAGGGAAGTTCATAGAGATTAAGAACTACTTTAAAATTAATGATAAAATATTAAATTTTATCATTAATATTTAATATTTAAAAGATTAAAATGCAAAACTGATAAATAAATTCAAGCACCAGTTCTTTGAAAAGACCATAGGCAAACCTCAGAAAATGTTAAATGCAAAAAAACAAACAAACAAAAGAGGTAAAACCTAAGCTTGAAAAATGATGAAGGGGATGGGATATTATCAGAGATCAAAAATTCTCAACTTTAGCAACACTGACATTTGGGGCCAGATAATTCTTTGTTATAAGGGGCTGTCCTGTGCATTGTTAACAGTAGCCCTAGATTCTACCAACTAGATGGCAATAGCACATTCCCACTTCCATCTGTAAAATCTGAACGTATCTCCATACATTTACAAATGTCGGGGAAGGCAAAATCACCTCCAGTTGAGAAGTAGTGCAGTGTTAAAGGAAGTATAACTCTGTACTATTAACTTCTTACATCTGAATAAAAAAGCAATGTTTAAGGAAATATACATTATAAAAATGGTGGAAATGTGGTAGAGAAGCTCAATAAAACAATAACCAAAAAATTAAAATTTTTATTAAAGATTCATTACCCCAGAAAGGCAAATTCTGAATTTCCTATGTTGTTACATTGATTTGTGTGTATATTCATGCCCTGCTACCACACCCATTTAATCACTGTGACAGAGAATACCTTTCCAACTTCTAAGAACTAGTTCATTCATCTCCTACTTAGAATGTTATTGAGAGAAGCTATACAACAGAAATATAAATGAATACTCCATATAAGTAATAGAAATTTTAAAAATTTGATTTAATAGATAATTATAATTATATATTAATTGTAATAATAAAATTTTATAAAAGTTCATGTATCTAAAATAGTATTCCAATGTACATTCAATACAAAAGTACAATATTTGAGCACCTTTTTCATGCTAAGTATTTGAAATTTGGTGTGTATGATATACTTACAGAACATCTCCATTCAGACTAGTTATATTCCAGGTCTCAATAGCTATGTGAGTATTGGACAGCACACTTATAGAGTATATTTAAAGATGGAAATTTCCTGGATTCATTTTCTCATTTCCTGAAGACAGTAGAAACGTGATCTTTAAAAAGAATTTTTAAAAAATCAAAGATAATTGGCATTTCAGAACTCAGAAACAAAATCTTTAAACAAAATGTTAGCAAAACAATTATCATTGCCTTAAAATGATAATATGTCATTCATGATCAAGTATGGTTACTCTAAGAATGCAAGGTATAATTTATATTGAACCTATTAATATTATTTATCCTTTACTATATAAGGGAGAAAATGTATGAGCAGTTTAACACCAGAAATGTATTTAGCTAATTAAATTTCATTTATATTCCTGATTTTATCTTTTTTTTTTTTTTTTTTTTCTGAGACAGAGTCTTGCTCTGTCACCCAGGCTGGAGTGCGGTGGTGTGATCTCAGCTCACAACAACCTCCACCTCCTGGATTAGGTGATTGTCATGCCTCAGTCTCCCAAGTAACTGGGACTACTGGTGCATGCCACCATACCTGGCTAATTTTTATATTTTTAGTAGAGATCATGTAGGCCAGGCTGGTCTCTAACTCCTGACTTCAAGTGATCCCCCCGACTCAGCCTCCCAAAGTGCGATTACAGGCATGAACCACCATGCCAGGTCATCCCACCATGCCCTGCTGTCTATATTCCCGATTTTAAAAGGAAAAAAAAAAAAAATTAGCTTCTTGTATGTTGTAGACCATATATTAAAGTTCAAAAGCTGATATCAAAGGTAAAAGTAAAAAAGTCTTATTTTTAATAAAATTGAAAATTAAGAATAGGAATACCCTAATTCTTAAAGATGCACTGCTTAAAATCAGCTCTCTCCAAATTAATTTATAAATATCTTATAAGTCCAATTAGTGTCAAAGTTATTAAAAACATTACCTGTAAGAAATAAATTTTTAAAATGGCCAAGAGATTTTTGGAAATAAAGTGTGCTTTGTGACTTACTAGGTGTTAAAATAAATAAGAAAAAAGTAATTAAAATAGAGAGGAACAAGTGCAGTTCAATGACACAATGTAAAGTCCAGAAGGAACTCAGATATTTATAGAAATGTAACATACAGAGACAGTTACTTTTCAATTCCAGCAAAGATAGATTCTTCAATACATGTTTGAAAGTTTGGCTACAGTGAATGTTTGTTGGAATACTATTCATTGGTGAAAAATAGGAAATCAACTAAAATTTTTGTGATGGTTAATACTGAGTGTCAACTTGATTGGATTGAAGGATGCACAACACTGATTCTGGGTGTGTCTGTGAGGGTGCTGCCAAAGGAGATTAACATTTGAGTCAGTGGGCTGGGAAAGGCAGACCCACCCTTAATCTGGGTGGGCACCATCTAATCAGCTACCAGCACAGCCATAATATAAAGCAGGCAGAAAAACGTGAAAAGGCTAGACTGGCCTAACCTCCCAGCCTACATCTTTCTCCCATGCTGGATGCTTCCTGCCCTCAAATGTCGGACTCCAAGTTCTTCAGCTTTGGGACTCTGACCGGCTCTCCTTGCTCCTCAACTTTCAGACGGCCTATTGTGGGACCTTGTGATTTTGTGGGTTAATACTCCTTAATAAACTCCTTTTTGTATGTATGTATATCTATCCTATTAGTTCTGTTCTTCTAGAGAACCCTGACTAATACAGATTTTGGAACCAGGAGTGGTTCTAGAGGAACAGAATATTAAGGAAGGAGTTCTTTCATTGGTTTTGGGGTTTCTGGAATTGTCTGCTTAATATGATTAGACCCCAAAATGCTAAAATCTCTACTTCTAATAGTATGGAGAAAACTGATAGTTCTTGGCATGAACTGTTTAGAGAGTTATGCAAGATAAGTGCATCTGACACTCTTGATTCACCGCTCGTGAGACGCAAGGAGTTTAGTGACTCTATACCTACTACCTTTGACCATATGTAGAGAATCAAGGAACATAATGAAGTTGGTTGGTTGCTCCTAAGTTCACTGGACAAAGTGATGAAAGAAGATGATGAACTCAAGGATTCTAACTCTAGGCTACAGAAGCAGATATTTAGCCTCAAATCTACTAAGATTGCCCTGAATGAGAAAGAGCTGTAGAGAAAGAGCTGAAATTGTGGAAAAACAGACATAAACTCATCATGGGAGGGGCTGACCTGCAATGAAAGATGCATGCACAGCCTCCCCAGCTATCTACTGTTAAAGTGAGGGCATTGAATGGAAAAGAATGGGACCCTGCAGTCGGGTGTGATGGCTCACCCTTGTAATCCCAACACTTTGGGAGGCTGAGGCAGGCAGATCACAAGGTCAGGAGATCGAGACCATCCTGGCTAACACGGTGAATCCCTGTCTCTACCAAAAATACAAAAAATTAGCCGGGCGCGGTGGCGGCGTCTGTGGTCCCAGCTACTCAGGAGGCTGAGGCAGGAGAATGGCGTGAACTCGGGAGGCAGAACTTGCAGGGAGCCGAGATCGTGCCACTGCACTCCAGCCTGGTCGACAGAGCGATACTCCGTCTCAGAAAAAAAAAAAAAAAAAAAGAATGGGACCCTGCAGCTTGGAATGGGGACGTGTGAGAGGAGCCTGATGAAGCTGGGGACACTGAATTTGTAAACTCTGATGAACCTTTTTTGCCAGAAGGAATAGCTTCCCCATCCCCAGTAGTGGCAACATCCCCTCCCTAACCCATGCTGACATCAGCCTTTCCACCTTTGTCTGAGGGGATAAAGCTTGCACTGCCTGAGGCAACAGTGATAGACTGCCTGAGCCAGTTGCCAGGCAGGATAATGTTGATTCTCCTCAGGAACCATCCCCCAAACCCCTGTTTGCTTCTAGATCTATAACTAGACTAAAGTCTGGGCAGGCCCCTAGAGGGGGATGGTATATTTATATAATGCAGTATTATCCACCCATTTAAAATTATGTTGTGGAAGAATAATCTATATAAAGAGGTTTATTATACAGCATTAATTGACAATGAATCAGTCTACCAAGTAATAAGTAATGTGAAGCTCAATTTTTGTGTTCTCTTTGGTGTTCACACCAAAAAGATCTCTCTGTACTCCTTTTAGTAACTTTTTGCTGCATTATCAAATCCCTAAGATACAAAAAATCAAACTCTTGAGTTTTACCTAACCTAAACTAGGTTTAACCTTAATTATTTTTACACAAATTTCAGTCAAATTTTGATGTTTTTGTTTCCCTATCTCTTCTTTCCCTTCTTCTCTTCTGTACCCTTGTTCTCTTTCAGCAAGGTTTTTATTAGCCTTTTTAAATTTTTTTCCATATTTCCATTTATCTAATTGGGAGCAATTATGAAAAGCATTTTAGAAGTTATTGCTTATTAAAAGAAATTACTACTACATCACCTTGCCTCCACCTCCATCTTTATCAATGAGGATACCAAGAGACTGAATGCTTCTTTTTTTTTTTTAATTATTATTATTATTATACTTTAACTGAAAGCTTCTTTAACTTGCTCCTCTGCCTCAAAAGCCATGTCCAAACCTGACGTCATAATTCTGAAATGTGTTCAGAACCCACTGCTCTTCTTTAATAGCACTGTAACTGTATTGTGAGCAGCGAAAGATGAGACATAACCAAGTCTGTGTATGTTTGTATCTTTCCACAAGGTCAGATTTTTATTGGTGTTATTTCAATCATAAAAGTCACGAGCTACATGGAGTTCCCAAGGAAGCAATTCTTCTTAGCACAACCTATTCACTCAGTAGTTAGCGCCATGGGCACAAGGGTTCAAGCCACAAGTCAGTCAATATTGCAAATCACACATGGTAGCATAATTAATATATAAAAGTTATAGGTTAAACATTCCATATCAGACAAACAATTAACATCAAGATAAAAAGGGTTAGGAAAATGGGGTCAAATGAACCAGTGCAAGGAGAGTGACATGGACAAGGAGAGTCCTGGCCTGATCTGATGGACGTCAATGACTTGCACGGAAGAGTCTTTTATTTGGGCAGAGCCTTCAACCTCAAGTGCCAGGTGCTAATTACAAGTGACGGCATAACTCGGTCTATCAAGATGGCCATCTTGAGCTGGTGAAGTCTTGCTATTCTTATGGCCCCAGAATATTCTGGTGAGGACTGAATTGATAGTAAAGAGTGTGCCTGGTTATGTCTTTATGTGATTGATTGCAGTCTCTATTGATTAGGCGAACATCTGATCCCTGTTGGTATGATGCATTCTGAAATGTAAGATGAGTCTTTTTCTAAGATGGAGTTACAGATGTCAAGGGTGCTCTATAAACAGCACCACTCAGTCCTTCAATACTTTTCATAGGTGCATCTATAACCAACCAATAGATCTCATTGCTAACAATCTCCTCCCCTGTCCAATCCATACCTCAGCCTGAAAGATTTTTCTAGAATACTGATTAATCATGCCATTTGTCTGCTTTTTGGAGAAAATTAGAACTCCTAAGAATGGATTTCAAAGCTTTTGAGCCCAACCTGATTTTCCAACCTCACCTCAGTTTATCACTCCCTGCCTACCATACCAAACTCCACCCATCTCAGAAAGTATAGGAATTTTGAAGAAGTGTTTCTGATGGAATAGTCTAAACATTGTGCACATTTTGTCAGGTTGTATATGTGGTACCACTGTAAATTTTATAATGACAATATATTTTCCAATCATTTGTTTTTCATCCATATATTTCTGATCATTTTAGTAATAGAAATTTTTTTACAGTAATTTGTTTTATAAGTATCAGGTAATATCAAATCTCCCTCATGCAAACACATTATCATCTCTTTAACTTGTGTCGCCCTCACTCCATCCTCCACCCTTTTTCCTTTCAGGATAAACTTACTTAGTGGTTTCACTCTTATTTTTTTTTTTTTTTGTTTAAAATGCCCCATCCTTTAAGTAAAGGATTATTCCTCCAAATGACCTGTATCTTTTCATACTTTTCTCTCTTTTTTTTTTTTTTGTTCATGATGTTATCTCTACTTGAAAATTCCTTGATATTTGTCTCCACTGAGTTAAATCTTACAGACATTCAAGGCTTACCCCAGACAATACTCCCTCTTCAAAGGTTTCCCTCTTGATATTCCTAACACATCACCTCACATGTGAGTAGAAAGTTGAATTTATTATACTTAATCTCCTCATACTACCACTAACAGCCTCAAAAAGGAAGATATATCTATATCAAAAGTCTAGAAGTTAAAAGTTTTGGGGTTAAATAATCTGCTTTTGTTCCCAATTTACAAATTACTCAAATTTCAATCTACTCTCTCTTTTGCATGCCCATTGCCCTTTGTAAATGCTCTCTTGAAACATTTAACACACTCTTTGTCTCGCACCATACACAAAATCAGGTGGTATATGTTCATTCATTTATGACTTTTTCAGGCCCTAATAGTCATTAAAGGACAATAAAAGAAGATAGGAAGGAAGGAAGGAAGGGAATTCTATTCAGATTTCTAATAGCCTGTCTATCTAAACTTTGAGTTGAGGTAATGTATGACCCAAGAATAAAAAGAAAGAACTTGGATAGCTTAAGCTAAAATTAAATTCCTGCAAAAGGTGAAAGTTCACACTTTTTTTTTTCTTTTTGGTGGAAGCTTGATTACACCACTAGAAAAAAAAAAAAAAGGTTAAATTACTTCTTTCTCTTCCAATAATCTTGTGTATTACATTGCAGCAAACATTTGTATATGGAATTGCTTTTTAAAAGCAGAAAACCTGCTTCGCTGTGAACACTGGTTTGTAGCTCCTTTTTCATTTTCTTGACTAAAAACTCAGTTCTGTAAATTGTTTCAGTAGTTCAATAAACAAGTTGTAAATTCTGAGCTCCCTAAGGATAATGACTGTGTCTTATTCAGTAATGTTTCCCAGGAGCCTCACTAATACCAGGAAGGCAAGTTTGCCTACATTTACTCGAGAATATATTGTTGTTAATTCTCTAAAGACCAATGGAGTACGTGTTCTCTCAACGTCCATCCACATGGCAAAACTGTGTGAAGAATAACAATCAGACAGACCTCAAATTTGCTCATTTGATGATTTATCTTGTTTGATGAAAGGCGCAATAGCCTAAGAAAACTCTCTCTTCTCAGACACTATTTGCCTCAAATCAATAGTATGCAGAAAATACCACCCACCACAGGACAAATGAAAATTGAAAATTGTCTTGACTCCAACTACAGCACAAAGGGGAAAAAGACGTAACAATCTAATTTTAAAGAAAGCAGTCTCAGTTAAAAGCATTGGTCTCAGAAGTCTTTTTTTGGTGACTCTGCAGATGATCCTATTAGATTCTAGCAACTGCTAAGATTGAAATACTCCAAAGTGAGACAGAGTGTTTAGGAAACACAGACTAGATGGCCTATGATTCGTTAACTTTATTAAACAGCACTGTATTTCCTGAACAAACAGAACAGTACACTGGTATGTTCCTGAACTTTTTAAAGTTTTGCAGTTGATGGGGTTCAGGACACACTAACCCAGAATGTAGCATCTTGACATTTGAAAAATTGTAGAAACATGAAGGTCACCCTCACCTTCCCCTTGCCCCTTCTCCTCTGAAGCAGGCCATAAAACGTAGAAATAATTCTCTGATCTTCTCTCCTGTAGCAGAGAATAAAATCAGTGAGTTTCCCGGGAAGCAGGTCATAAAATCCTGTTCCCTGAGGTGCCCTCCTTGTACCTGGAGGGAAAGAATGTTCTTATCTCTGAAGTCAGAGAGACACAGAGAAGAATCTGAACGAACAGGCCTTGCTAAGATGGGGTTTGTGACCATTAGATCATACCTCGTATGTCCAATCACACTTCTGCACAACTCTCCACTCTTCCTCTTACCTAAGCATAAAAACATATAGGTTTCCCTGTTTCTTTGGGTCATTTCTTTTTTTTTCTTTTCCTTTTTCTTGGAGTCCGATTCTTGCTCTGTCAGCCAGGCTGGAATGCAATGACACGATCTTGGCTCACTGCAACCTCTGCCTCCTGGATTCAAGAGATTTGCCTGTCTCAACTTTCCAAGTAGCTAGGATTACAGTCATGCACACCACTCCCAGTTAATTTTTGTATTTTTATTAGAGAAGGAGTTGCACCATGTTGGCCAAGATGGTCTCGAAATTCTGACTTCAAGTGACCAACCCGCCTCGGCCTCCCAAAGTGCTGGGATTACAGACGTGAGCCCCTGCGCCCAGTGGGTTTTCATTTCTGAAGGCTCCCATGTCGGGCAAAACTTATATTAAATAGATTTGTTTTTCTCTTGTTAATCTATCTTTTGTTCCAGGTGCCTTACCTGGGAACATTGAAACAGGTGAGGAAAAGATTAACACTTTTTCTCCTTTGCACATTTCACTTAATTAGAGTACAACAGACTCCAAGTCTCTCTTACTTCTTGCTTTCTTACCCTATGCCCAGCTTTAATTTCAAATTTAGTTTCAGTGGTTAATTGCCTTAGAAGCCTGGGAAATTAGTTTTTATGTTAACTAAACACCAAATGTGAATAAATCACTCTGCTAGATGCTTTACATAGTCTACCCAATTTTCCCTTAAACAACTTTCCAAGGCTTATGGTTTTTTTCCTATTTATTCTTAGGAAAACTAAGAGTCAAGTGATCAAGTAACCATCAAGGAGAGATTCATAATCTTTCCACTGGACCAAGTCTGTCTCCATGTTTATTCAACACACAGTGGCTTCAAATGCTATCCTCTTTATAAAACTTGCTCAGATTAGGTATTCTTCCCCCTCCTTCCCCATCTCCACCCAGAACTCCAAGATATGAGAGCAATCTGGCTTATCCCTTCAATCTCCCAGGTGAACCAGAATCAAAATAATTCCTAACAAGAACAACACGTTCTAGTGAAAAACAACGTGCCAGTTGAGGAATTAGATGTTCTGGGCTCCATTGACTTGACCGGCTGTGTTACCTGTGCCCGATGATTTAACTGCTCTTAGCCTTATGTTCCTTGTCTTTAACTGAGGTTAACCATCTAGTAATATAGAACTTTTTAGTTTGAGTTATAATGGAATCTCTAAGAGAATAGGTATATTTTGTAAGTATTCTTTAAATTAACATTTAATCCATAAACTGCACATTACGGACATTGCCCACACTTTTTAATTTAATCTTTTTTTTTTTTTTTTTTTTTGAGATAGGGTCTCACACTGTCACCCAGGCTGAGTTGCCATGGCACAATCGTGGCTCGCTGCCGCTGTGACCTCTTGGGCTCAAGCGATCCTCCCACCTTTCAGGCTCCTCAATAGCTGGGACTACAAGTGCACGCCACCATGCCTGGCTAATTTCTGTATTTTTAGTAGAGATTTGGTTTCACAATGTGGCCTAGGCTGGTCTCGAACTCCTGGGCTCAGGCTATCTGCCTGCCTCAGCCTCCCAAGGTGCTGGGATAACAGGCATGAGTCACCGTTACCAGCTGCTCACAACTTTAAAAAAGAAAGTTTAATGTCTCAACTACATTCTAATGTCATTTGGATTATGTTCCAAGAAACTCTTTTTTGTCAAGGAAAACAATTATTTTTACAATCACGAACATGTTAGTTTATTATTTGACATTTAAAATGTGCCGTTCTTAGATTGAAATATCTCTATCCAAGGTGCACCAAAAGAGAATGGATTCCCTGAGATGATCGAGCACAGCAGCATTTGAGCTATCAGACAATCATAAATTGGGAATGACAGGTATGCTGACCATGGCGCATTCCATGGTGAGAATGGTAAGGACTTAGCAGCCTCCCATTAAATTAATGAGAAACCTCAGCCTTTTTGGCCAGCAGGATTAAGCAACAAAATGGAGACATCTCAATACCTTTCTACCACCCTGGGAATGAAAGGCAAGATTGACAGGACAGCCAATTCAGCTAAGTGTTTGGCTTTTCACCCAGGTTACCCCTAGACAGGGTTATTATTCCACTATTCTCTCATTTTGGCTTTCAAGATTAGCAGCAGTTAAAATAGTGTTTTTGAAGTATTTATGTTGTTTACACCCTTGTTTCCTGAATAAATAAGAAATTAAAAGACTAGGAATCCCTCCAGGTCCCTAAAACTGTCCAATAAAGGTATGCTCTTAATTTGGATTTATAAGCAGGGTTTTCATTTTATGGTCTGCTTGCTTTTTATAATCAGCAACTCTTCAGTCTGCAATCTAAAAGGAGGCATAGCAATTAGTTAAAACTTAAAATGAAAAAGACTAGAATCTAACTGCATTTTTTCTATTCTGTGAGGCAGGATGTTAAAAATCAAAGTATTGGCCGGGTTCGGTGGTTCACGCCTGTAATCCCAGCACTTTGGGAGGCCGAGGCAGGTGGATCACGAGATCAAGAGATCGAGACCATCCTGGCTAACACGGTGAAACTCTGCCTCTACTAAAAATACAAAAAAAAAAAAAAAAAAAAAAATTAGCCGGGCGTGGTGGCGGCACCTGTAGTCCCGGCTACTCGGGAGGCTGAGGCAGGAGAATGGCGGGAACCCGGGAGGCGGAGCTTGCAGTGAGCTGAGATCGCACCACTGCACTGCAGCCTGGGCGACAGAGCGAGACTCCGTCTCAAAAAAAAAAAAAAAAAAGTACCGGATTGGGAATTAGGCAAGTAGTGCCACTAACAACCTGTGCAGCCTGGAAAAATCTGGTCTCTCAAAGCCTCAGTCTCTCCATTGGTAATCAGTCAGACTGTAGGATGGCTACATTTTTCAACATTTTTAACTATGCTGCTCTCTTTAAAAACAAAGAATGAGTAGGTAACAGAGCACAGATATTCCCAAGAAGATATATGCCCAAGAAAATGTATCCTTTCTTGGGCATATATCTTCTTCTATAAATGGGGATCTATTTACAGATTTCATTTATTTATTTTTCTTGAGACGGAGTCTCACTCTGTCTCTCAGGCTGGAGTGTAGTGATGCGATCTCGGCTCACTGCAACCTCCGCCTCCTGGGTCCAAGCAATTCTTGTGCCTCAGCTTCTTGAGTACCTGGGATTACAGGTGTGTGCCACCCTGCCTGGATACTTCTTGTATTTTTAGTAGAGATGAAATTTCACCATGTCGGCCAGGCTGGTCTCACACTCCTGACCTCATGTGATCCACCCCCCTCGGCCTCCAGAGTGCTGGGATTACAGGCTTGAGCCACCACACCCGGCCTGTTTACAAATTGATAGCATCTGTTTTTCTACTATTGAACACACAAATTCTAATCCATGGAAATGCCATTTACATATTGAAGTGTAAGGACACAGAACATTGTTCACATTGCTACTGTTAGTATTCTTTACTGGGACTGATAGCATCACCTGTTAGGTCAACATTGATCCACCAGTCAACACAATTTGCTTGTATTTTTGCTTTCTTTAATCCATAATTTAATTCTCTTAACCCCACCCCTGCCCTGGAGAAAAACCATAGACATCATTTCGAAGGAGTTTATTTCTCATAATCTTTTAAAACATAGATCATGAAGTGACTGTGTTTCCATTTAGGGGATTAATTCTCTGTGTGTTTTCTAATTCCTTAGGCTGACTTGTCTTATCATCTCAACACCCATTAACATCTCACCCAGAGAACGGAAGCTTAAAGAAAGCTGTTGAAGATTTAAGATAATCTGTAGGTTTGGATGGAAGTTTTTTTAAAATGTATTGTATTTATTTCTTTATTTGAGACAAGAGTCTCGCTCTGTCACCCAGGTGGGAGTGCAGTGATGCAATCTCGGCTCACTGCAACTTCTGTTTTCCAAGTTCAAGCGATTCTCATGCCTCAGCCTCTGGAGTAGCTGGGATTACAAGTGTGTCCACCACACCTGGCTAATTTTTGTATTTTTTTAGAGACGAGGTTTCACTGTGTTGGCCTGACCTCAGGTGATCCACCCACCTCGGACTCCCAAAGCGCTGGGATTACAGGCATGAGCCACCGTGCTTGGCCAAAGGTTTTTAAATTGTAAAGACCTGTAACATTAACCTTTGCATAGAGAAACACAGAGTGGGGTTACTAGATCTGTATGTTCCACAGACTTCTGAGAGAGCTTAAGCCCGAGGAAAATAATGAAATCCAACTTTAGTGTCCAAAATTTATTAGTAGTTTTTTATTAAAATCTGCAAGGAAAAGAAAGAGCAACATTGAGCACTTACTATTTGACAAGTACTTTATGTATATTAGCTTGCTTTATCTTATCTTAGCCCTAAAAGTGTCATGAGTCCTGGTTCACATATAAAGAAACTGAGGCTTAGCAATGTAAGGATTATTCCTTTGACTCTTTCTTTCTGTGACAGGTAGTCAACAGCAAAATCAGTATTCCACCACTAGTCTATGAAGCTCTAAAATTGATGTTTTCACTCTGTCACTGCTTCTCTTGCAAAACCTATTAGATGTTTCCTTTATTTCTGTTCTTCATACTTCTTTCTCTCTATTGATTGATTGATTGATTGAGACAGAGTTTCGCTTCCATCACCCAGGCTAGAGTGCAGTGGCATGATCTCAGCTCATATGACCTCCACCTCTCTGGCTCGAGCAATCCTGTCTCAGCCTCCAGAGTAACTGGGACTACAGGCACGGATCACTGTGCCTTGCTGATTTTTATATTTTTAGTAGAGATGGGGTTTCACCATGTTGGCCA